GGGCGGGCTGCTGCCCCCTGGCCCCACCGCCCTCCCTCCGCAGCACGTGGTGCAGTGCGTGTTCGTGGCCATCCGCACCATCGGCAACATCGTGCTGGTCACCACCCTCCTGCAGTTCATCTTCGCCTGCGTCGGGGTCCAGCTCTTCAAGGTGAGCCCCTCGCCCAGGTGCCCGCCAGGTGTCCGCCAGGGGCCAGGGCCAGAGACTTCGCCTGCGTCGGGGTCCAGCTCTTCAAGGTGAGCCCGACCCCCAGGTGCCCACCAGGGGCCAGGGCCAGAGCGGCCGGCCGTTCCCGCCTCAGCCCAGGGAGCCCCCACCTGGGGAAACAGGGGTCCTCAAGGCTCCCTGAGGGTCCGCTGTCTTCCTGGCTTCCCCTGGAGGAGGAAGGTGACACCCCACACCCGCCTGGCCTGCAACCACCCCTCCCGGCCATCAGATCCCCCTCCTCGTTGCCTGGGCTCCTGCACCCGAGTGCCGGCCGGGTGTCCGGCCTCAGTCCTTCTCCCAGGAGCACCGAGGGCAGGGGCCCCATCTTCACATGTCTGGGCGCCGACCCCATTCTGTCCTCACTTTCGGGGAGAGCACGGTGCTCGGTTCCTCTCCAGGGTGCTGGGTGTCCCTCCCGACGCCCCGGCTTTGGGACCACCTGCGGGACATAGAGATTGGCCTGAGCACAGCCCCGACCCCGCGGCTCCTCCTCCCAGGACCCGGTCGTCTCCTGCCCCCACGGGTCCGGCTTGAAAATCACCAGACGGAGCCTCAGCCAGAACTAGACATGCAATGACATTCATTCATTCATTCATTCATTCATTCATCGCACAGACACAGGGCTGCTTCCCGGGTCAGGGCCTGGGCTGGGGGCCGGGGGCAGGCTGAGGGCGTGGGCCTCGGTGCCGGAGGACTGGTCTGGGCCCTGCTCCCTGGTTGGGCCGCCCTCTGGGAGGAAGACCCAGGCTCCTCGGTCCAGACGTTCTGCCTTCCTTCTCCTGCCCATCATCGGATCGCTGTTTCCATGACAACGCATCTCCCTCCCTCCCTCCCTCCCTGTCCTGGGCGCAGGGGAAGTTCTTCAGCTGCACTGACTTGTCCAAGATGACGGAGGAGGAATGCAGGTGTGCG